GGGAGAAAGATCATGGCGGTCCCTGACGAGGCCGCATTAAGCCATATTTCCGTACCTGCAATCGACGCACGCAAACTCGGAATTAATTGCATTATCTCGTACATATAAAGGGATTGTGAGAAATGTTATTTCGTAACAGAAGGAAGAAAGCTGTCCAGAATATACTTGGGTTGTATTTATTTAATTGCTGGAAAGCTCTTATCGATAAAGAATTACTAGACTTTTTCGGAAAAAGCAGTTCAGACATGAGAAAGAAGAGTTATACAAGACAACGATAAATATCATCAATATTTAATTACTAGACTTTTATCGAAAAAGAATTGTTAACTTTCGGGAAAGATGGTTTATGTTAAGAAAAAAAGTCGTAAAGGTAATGTTGGTTGGATCTCTTTTTTGATGTATAAAAATTACTTCATTTTACTATTTAGAATGATTTTTGCTTAATTACCTCCTCTTGTATTTTTATAATTTCTGATTTATCGTAATCAGAGCTTATTTTGAGTTTCGAGACTGATAACAGCTTCTGATGTGTTTATTTGCGCATTTAAAGAAAAGACGAAGAGAAATAACTTCACCAAGGTCAAGTGGATCATGTTGATGCGCGGTCGTCGAGAAGCGCACGATGAGTGCTCGAGCAGAGGAACCGACGTCACTGACCGTGGATGCACGCGAGACTCGCGACAATTTCGCGCGTGACGTCGCGTTTCGGCCCTTCGGCTCGAAAAGAAGCCCGCATTGCCTTGAATCCGGTTCTTGAAACCTTGCGATTGTGTGATCGCATGAATGGTACACCGAATCGAATATTCCACGATAGAAGAATTTCCCGCGCAGTCTATCTGAAGAAAAAAAAGAGAGAGATCATTTCGTTAAAATAGTCTTTACGCTTATTGATCGTGGATAAGTATTAAATTATTATTATCATCATCATCATCTTTAGAAATTGATCTTTGAAAGATAAGCCGTAGAGAAAATGATGGCGATAAACGTTCGCGGAAACGCGTGGATCCGTTTAGTTCTTACGACTCTGACATTTAATTTTATCATGTATGCAAATTATTTCTACGTATCGGGTGATTTAGATAATTATTTGCATACCGTAGACATCGGTTATCGACAAGATCAAAGAACGAGCGCGTTGGTTGCAAATTGATTTATTAGGCAAAAATGAAAATGCGAAAAAAACAGTGAAACGAAACAGTAAGAAAAAAGGTATTGGTAATGTAAAGATATTGGTAATGTAAACCAAGCGAAGTATACTTATGCACAAATATACAAATTCGGACAACCTGCTGACTCTGACGCTTTAATAATTCATGCGAAATGCATATATGAAGGAAAGGCATGAAGTTTTATGTTTCGAAGTTTCCGAAGAGAGATTTCATTCGTCGAGAACTAGAACCCTCTGCGTGTGTGACATGCATGTATGTGTGACTTGGCGAGCCTTGCAAGAAAAACTTGGGTTATTGCGAACGCGACGTATATTTACGACATAAATAATTCCGGGGCGGTTTTTTACGTATATTAAAAGTTTTATTGAAAGTTCAATATTTTACGAGATTGTTGTTCAACGAGTCCCTTCTATCAGGTACTTGAACATCTTTCTCGAAATTTTCAGCACTTAAAAAACATCGTTCTCTCAGAGCGAAAAGCTTTCGCGATGATTCATCGTCATTTACGGTCATGATTCTTATGATAAAATTTGTTAATGAAAAACTCATTAATTCTAAGTGCCACGTAAATGTGCTGTGTTACCGACCGTTTGTGAACTTCAGAGTCTGTGGGATATCTTAACAGAGAGCAGTATAGTTCGCGAGGCGAGCTTGAAGCGAATATTAGACAGAGAGAGGCATTGAGCTCTCCATGCGAACATTAACTTCGTCCGCTTTGCTTATATAAATCTTCCCAGTCTTTTGCTTCCTTTTTATTTTGCTTCCTTTTTATTCCTCAGAGAAGATTCATAAAATTTTTAAGAAGAAAGAGATATTCTCTCGAAATCGAATTAGTTGCAAATTGAATCCGTTATCAAATTTTTATTTACATTGTTACACATGAAACTCCTCTTCTAAAATCTTAATCCAAAATAACCGATGTTTTTCTCTTTTTTTAAATAAGATTCTCATTTCATTATCTTTCTTTTCTCGATAGAAGATTCATATAAGCTTATTTTAGCGTAAAAAGAGATATCATTAATAAAGAAATCTTCTGGAAATTTCAAAAGAAGTAATTTACTATTGTTATTGTTGTTGCAACGATTTATTTGAATCAGACTCAAATCGAATACCACATTACTTTTTTCCTATATACAGAAAGCCTCTTTCGAGAATTAATTAGTGTAATAGAAGTTTTTAATGTGACGTCTGCTAGACACTTCCATCATGTGTATAGGATGCTTTGGGCGTCACAATAGATTTTGTAGTTACGCACCTACGCATCTCTCTCTTCCTCTTTTTCTGAGCACGTCATTGGGTTCTCCCTCTTTCATCTCTTTCATTTTGCCGGACGAGCTTACGCTCACATCGTGAGAAAGAGATTGTACATTCTACGTCAAGCGTTATATTTATAGCCTAGGATCCCGGGATCTGAGACTTTATCAATTGTCATAATGACATATTCGTCTATATATAAAACTTCCTGATACCATATTCAGAATAGCACAGATCTGATACGATTATTAAATTTAAAGTTACAATCTACATGACGTCACGGCGTCGTGGCTTATCTCTATATTCTGAAACTTTGGACTGTAACCTGGGTTTATGTCGGCTAAAGTAAAATAAAGAAGTCACCCACGTGAAAGTCAAATTCATTTCACAAACGATGAATCTGTCTGTTCGAATTTGGATCCTGTAAACAACTCTTGTCTTAAAAGAGTTTTCCTCCGAATTCAGAGCAAAACTCTTTCGTTGAGAAACAGACACGGTAACGCAAACCGTGCATTTTGAATCTACATCTCATATTATTAATAATATCAGATTGTATCTTGATAATGATTATACATCAATGTTGTTTTTCCTTTTTTAACAAAAAAACTGCTCTGTTCACAGAAAGTTATGTTTTTACGTAACGCAAATAATTTTTAGATACTTGTTTTCTCATCCGGTAGTTCTGAAAGAACTTATTTCTTTATCTTGTCCTGTCACTTCAACGCAATGACAGAAAAAAGCATAAAGCGTTGAATTTAAACAATGTTTATGATACAATACAGTAATAATAGTGACTCTTTGAAGAACATTCGGAATAGACGTGAGTTGTTTGCATCCTATCGACCGAAATAGAGACAGTCTAATTCTATGGCTTGCTATAATACCCTTGCGAAGGCCCAATTCAGTCTTCGTTTGTACTCCGTCTTTGTTGCACCCCGCTTTGTTTCGTACATAAAGCTAAAACATGTGGGACAGACGCACCCCGCGAGAACGAAGACTTGATTGATTAAGATCTTCGAAAAAGCGCACAAGTTGAATTACTTGTGAAATGTTAATAAGTTCAGTGGAGGCTCGAACCGGCAAATGACGTGGCGATGTGCCAGCGATTACGTCGCTTTCAGAGAATTTCCTTGACGTGATTTCCTATAAGATAGCTCGAATGTCTACCAGATAATACCTGTAGTTTCCTTTTTATCAAAAATGAAATAAAAATAGTCGAGCGAAAAATACTTTATTTTTGCTACAGAATGAAACGATTGCATTGCTAGGTGCGTATAAAATTCCTAAAATTTTTTGTCTATATATTTACGTTCTTAATCTCAGTAATGGTGTAATGCAACTTTGTCGTTATATTACTCGAGTACTGGCGTTATCTTAAAAAAAATGTATACGTTGCATCAGATTTTCCAATGATAAGTCGAGATTTTCCAACAGGAAACAGATGATTTGCGTTCGTCTTAACTTAAGAAGAACAAACAATTTTACAATGTTAATGAGACATCCCTTTAAGCATTCCTTGCTATTTTTCATTGAAAAAACTTTTAATGAATGCGAGATGCACGTGTATGACTCATGTAAGTCACACGTGACTCTTTCTGTAAACATTAATGTGTATTTATATTTCAGATGCAACGAGAATCTACGTATTTAATGTAAGCAGATTAATTATGATTTATAGCAAATAAAATTTACGACATACGAATTTATTTGCGAACATTGCACGATAGCTCTGAGAGATAAAATTAGTTAAGTCTCTTCTTAAAGAGATAACTTTGACTAAATTCCAATTGATTCAACCGGTAGAATTGCTTACCTGCAATTGCTGCAATTGTGCAATTTCTGTATACTTCATTATATTCTTGATTTTATCTATTTCTAAAAAAAAAAAAATCTTTTATTTTTTGTGCTACACAAAAATTAATAATTCTAATAAATTACTTAGATTTTTTGTTATAAGTTTTTCACTATGTTTTAACAGGCTTATTAGCGTCATTATTAAATTAAATATCATTGTAACTTGTGATGTTATATTTAGCTTTATTTAATAACTGCATTTCAAGTTCAACAAATCGAATCGGCGCAATTTATGAAAAATGAAAAATATATTTGTAAATCTATATGAATATTACATTATTAAACATTAAGAATCCGCTTCGATAAAAGGATTCCTTTTTTTTATCTGATTTCCTCTTGTAATTATTCTAACAAATTATATGCTGATAAATTATTTATTATATATTAATGTCGATATTATTTGATAAGTAAATAGTGATTGAATTTATTAAGAGTTTTTGATCAAAGAGTCACCCTCAATCACCCAAGTGATGAGCCTTTCTTAGAATGGCGGGTTACGCCATTATTTAACGAATTGACCAGATTGAACAAATATCTGTCTTCAACGATCGATAACGCCCTCCTCCCTCTCCCCGCGAAATACTTTTCGTATATATCACGTATATACGTATGAGCTTAGCCATCGGCACGTTCGTCGGAGTGCGTGCATCACTCTTTCTCTTTCTCTGCCTTCCTCGATAAAGGCACCAGCGACTCGAGGTGTCCGGCCAGTCAGTTCTCAGACTTTGATCTGCGTGAACCACGTTTCGCGTAGATCTTGCCGATCAGGCACGTTGTCGGTCTCTGATTATTGTACCTATCGAAAGAATCTCGCTCAATGTGAAAACGAAAATAATCTTGAGGGAATACACAAGGAAGGAAAGGTTGGATAAGTGAGAGATCTTGTGGAAAAATCGATATCAAGTGCCGAGATTTTTTTATCACATTTCGACTGAGGAAAATGGTACTTTTTAAAGATTGATCGATTAAATACAAGCGAGCATGTGTATATGTGTGTGCATGTGCGTGCATAGATTCTTCATAATCAATTAACTATTGTATTCGGTGTTCAATAATTCACTAATTCACAAAAGACAACTGATCGTGCACTGTACCATAACGAGGATCTACGGATTTCCGATACAGTCCACGTAAGTTTACTTTTTCTATATGTATATATAGAGTCAATTTCGAAGATCGGGTCGGAATAAGAGGGGAAATAATATACAAAAGTTTTAGATAAAGAATTAATAAGTGGGAATTACTACAGGTGCGTACATTAAGGTCCCTATTCTGTAACTCTTAGCTGCAACAATATCGTTACATTGTCATTGCGCAGATTTCATATACAGTAAAAAAGCTGCGTAACGACAATTTAATGATATCGTTAGAGTCGCTCAAAGTTACAGAATAGGACCATAAGGTTCGCTTCTTATTCTTTACGATTCTCTTCAATAGTAAAATATATAATAGCGGGAATTACAGGTTAATGACCATTCGTCGGTTGCTTGTCATTTTGATACGACATTCTTAATTCTCGAAAGTGACGTCTTCGTCATGTCAATGAGATTAATTTTGTTCGGCTGAGCATTTGAGCGAGAATCTCGTTTCTCGAGATCGTTTCTTTAAAAATCTTGATATCATGATATAAATTTCAAATGAGTCACGTTACCTCACAATGAAATGCAACAGACATTATCCTCTTAATAACACTTTATTTGGGTTACACCCTGGGGTGTCTTTAGGATGTTCAAAGGACATACTCAGACAGCACACAATATTTATAAAATATTGTATTTATAAATATTTATAAGACTTATTTTAAATATTTTGTAAATATTTATAGTTTAGGATCTTAGATTGGTTTTAGATTGCATAGATCATAAACATTTATTATAAATATTATTGTAAATTTAAAAATATTTAATTTAGAAATATTTATTATAAATTTTGTAATAAAAGTCATGAAAATACTTAATAAGATATTATAATTCAAGTAAAAAGTATTGTACTTATCACGAATATTTATTTATATTTATCATAAATATTACATTAAGTATTAAGTCAATCTTTTAATAATATCGAATAAAGCTTTATATAAAATGTGTATAAAATGTTTATATAACATTTCAAAAAATAAATAATAATAAATATTTATCACAAATATTTCTGTGCTGTCTGGATATGGATGTCCTAAAAACGTTTGGAGGTCTGTGTTGTTAGAGCCTAAATGTATATATATATAAAACATAGGCGAGTTTTTTAATTCATTTGATCAATCGCATTATGCGCAAATACTTTTATGGTACAAAGTTGCATTTGCACATAATTGATCAATCGAGGAATTAAAAAACTTTCCTTATTTTCACTGTTGACGCCGTAGGTGTTTCGGACTATAGGATCTGGTAGGAATTTCCGGATGACTTAATGCTTTCACGGACATCGAATGATTAATGATACGTGCATTCGTGCGAAGACATCATTGAAAAAATCGGTGCGATGGTGAGAGTGCAAGATAATGATATAATAGGTGAAATCTATTATCGGAGAAACAACCGATATAATACATCGCTAGTATCAATTCAATAATTCTTAAGAGCTTTTCTTGGATTTATCTGATTAACTTCGCAAAACTGGCTAAACAAACTAAGAAGAGACAAGAGAGAAATAGAGAAAAAGCTGACTGAAATCCTCAATTAAAACCGGCATTGATCATCAAGTAAATAACTCCCGCGTTACATGGAAGACTTATCGGCGAGTGCAACCAGGGTGTGACAAGATAAATGCGCGATCTAATATGATATCGAATGACGAAAGAGGAGCGGAAGAAGCTTGTCTCGCTTAAATGTCGCCGCGACAAATACTGCACATCGTAATTATAGGTGCATCCGGAGCAAGGTCGAATTATCATTTCCATTTTCAAAGTCCAGTAACTGATAAATTCAAAGTTCGATTATGCTCAATGCAAAGTGCTTGACGAGCATTGATTTAAAGATTGATACGATATAAATTTCGAGTACATTCTCGATAATCGACACTCGATAGACTTTGATAAGATGCAACTACTGTCCAGGATGGGACTCATTTGTATCTATGTCTTTTTCGTGTATTTATTAACACCAATTGCGTGCACCAGTGACGCGATACCCATCATATATTCTATCCCATTGGTAAGTATATATAATACTACACCGACATTTATGATATACTAAACTTAGGTTTTGTATTTGTTTGTCTGAGCTTCACGTATTTCGCATCTCTCGCGGAGTTAAATTAAGATCAAGTAGCCGATATTGATGACCAGTTTCTTGATATTCTCCAGATAATCTTGGTTGTAAAAATTCTTACGCAAATACCTGATCTCTTCTGAATTGCGAGGTTGCATAAGAAATCGAGAAGTTGAGAAAAACAAAGTATCTAAAAGAAGATATGCGAACGAGTCTTGGAAGATGCAAATCTCGACAACTCTTGTGAATTGACGTAAAAACTATAAATTCTTGGAAATAAATTCTACGGTTAATTTATTAATTTACAAATTGCAATATTACTTATTTATTGTTACAACGATCTACGCTCATGTATATAATACATAGAGATTGTTTCGCAGAAGTTCCGAAGAAAATCCGAAACTTTTTTGCCCGATTTCAAATCTGTCTTAAAAGATATGGAGTCATTTTCCATAAGTGACAAATCACAACGCCAACAAGTTCGGTCATTAATCACATAATTATTTATATTTATGACACGTCTCAAGCTGCGTTTTCCGAGAATTTTGGAACGTCGAGATATATCGACAGTGTCGTTCCAACAACATACACAAAATATATTCAATATTTTTGTTTTCAATATTTTGTTTTAGCAAAATGAAACCACAATGCCGGAGGAATACAAGCATTTACCGTTAGTGGGAAAATGTTGCTCCATAGACGAAGTCCTCATAAAAGATACGCACGGGAATACCGTTTGTGCTCCTTCGAATGACTCGTCGACGTATTTTTCGCCTCTCTTCAGCGACTTCAATCGTACCGGCGCGCTGGTGCCCGGTGATAAATATGAGACATTCACCGCTCTCGTGGGAAATCCCTGCAATCAGAGGTATGTATATGGGAACACAAAAAAAAATCCGCAAAAATTGGAACGATCGAATCAGCTGTTGAGAAAGTCGTTACAAACCGTTTTACCGAAAGTCATTCATTACTAAACATCGGATTTTTATGCAAATATTTTTTGCAGACATACATAAAATATGCAAATTTGTACAAATATGTAAATATGCACAATGTATACAAATAAATATTTTTTAAATGCTTTTTTAATAAGGCAAATTTCTATTTTGATGTTACTTTCCAATCTTTCTAAAAAAATATTGCATGAGAATTCGAATGTCTATTCATTATATAATATATAATTCATTATATAAAATGAGTTTGTACTATCAATATCCTTATCAATAAATCGGAACGCCATATTTTAATATATAAGTAATAATAAGATAAGACTGTTTTCGTATTATAATGAAATGTCGACTAGCCTTACTCGTAGATTGTGAAATTTAGAAAATCTAACGAACATTAATCAGACTTTACATAATTGCAAGTTAAATATGTTGGAAATCATAAGATGAATTTACTTATATCTTTAATCAAGAAAAATTGCAATTGATATTATATACAGGATATCCGAAATGTGAATTAAAATTATATTACAGCAAGGAAATTTTTGAAAAAAATAAGTTATGAAAGTATTTGTTTATCGTTTCGAGCAGTTTTTGAGATATACTGGTGAAACACTGGCTAATTATAGACTAAGTAGTCTATCCATGAGTCGCGCACTTCGTGCGCTCATAAGCATTAGATAATAGATTGTGTATAATGTTCGCATAATATCGTGTATTGCGTGTAATATTATAGCAAGTTAGTTGATGCTGATGATAAAGATAATTAATAAGATAAATATAACTTATCGGAATATTATATCGCTACTAAATTACTAATTTATACTACATTATCAATATTATTAAAATGTATGTACACGGTATTCCCCGAACATCACACACATAATTTTTTATCTAATGAGCGCGTGTTCACAATCATTAACACAATCATTAACATTACACGACTGATGCGGAATAGACCGTTTAATTATAATTCATAATTAGCCAGTTTTTAATCTTTATATCTCAAAAACTACTGTTCGGAAAAAAACGACAAATAATTTTAGCAAATTATTTTTTTCGATAACCTTTTTGCTGTAATATTTCGATTCGCAAATTAGGAACACTCTGTATATATATATATATATATATGTAGTGATAACTGCACTCTCGACATTGTATTCTTCAAATACTTATGATATATCAAACAATTGTGTATATCTTATTGAAAGTAATTCACAAGCTTATAGAATCCACTCATGCACTCATTGCCTGCATGAGATAGATAACGTGCGGCGTTAATATTTTTTCCCTTTTCTAATAAAAAAAATGATATCGTGTGATAAATCGGCGGAGATGAAATCATAAAGGAACATTTAATTTCGCCGGATATGTAGTATGACAGTGATATCGCCGCGTTATTGTATGTAGTTTGTATATCCATCAGCTAAAAGATTGCAATACTTTTTTCGGAATACAGCCTGCTTACCGGACATCCTGTATATCAATTTGGTTCTTACTTATGAATCTAATCATTTATCTTTAATCTGCTCAACGAGCAAGACTAAGTTCCGAAACCAATTAAAAAAAAGTGTTGCAACGTTTTAGCCGATAAGTGTATATGATTTATTCATAAAGACATATCGAATAAATGAACGAATAAAATGTAATCACTCATGAATTATATTTGCATAAACAATGAAGATTGCAAATCTAAATTGATTTATGAGAGCATCAGAGGGGATTCGGGATCTTAAAAACATTTATTTTTTGCCGAGAAATATAAGAGAATTCAAGAAGATGGAATCTTCAAATATAAAATAGCAAAAAAATGCAGAATAAAAGCCGAATAAAAATAGACAAAATAAAAATATAAAGAAAGTTACTTTTGCATTTTTTTAATAATCGGCACGATTTTTTCCAAACGCCTTGATATAATTTTTGCATATTATTTTGTTAATATTATTTTGTATTGAATAATTGGCTAGTAAATTTTGTAACATAGTTTAGATTTCAAATAACTTTATTCATCAATTTTTTTCTTTAAATGTTAAGCACCTAACTAGATACACAGATGCATTGAGAAACAACGACATTCAGTGTCTTGTGATAAATAAAATGCTTTATTCTGTTCTTTTTTATCGTAAAATTCAGTATTATTGCAATTTTTGTAATTAGATAGGAATGATTTTTCTCAGCAAAACTTGTTTCTCATGAGCGATTGATTATAGAAACGTGTTTCTCGGAAAGATCGTCTGTCACGATGTGTGTATCCTGGTGCGAGTATTCAAATTAAACCTCCATTTACTTTGAAATACTCCACTCAAGCACCTTTCTTAAGTCGGCGCTTCAAGTTTGCACGTATTTGACGAAGCAATTTTCAGGTACATGCTACAACCGGAGGAAAGCAATGATGATGAGTATTATTTATTGATGAATGGTTCCATTTTCGCGCCGCGACTCGATCATGTACCGATTATGTTGATGCCCGGTAAGAACTATTGCATGGAGACTGTGCCTTCGCTGGGACTTCGAACATTTGTCTGTTTTCAAGGTTTGTAATTTTTAATATTTAATAATTATTTTCTTGAAACATTCAGAAAATTTACAAAGAAATTCAGAATTATCAATGAAGATTAAATATTTTCATATGTTATAAATAAGTGATATACTTAGATAAAAATAGAAGAATTTTGATAAGATTGTTTTTCAAAGGAACTGAAATCAGACAGACAATCTTTCCATTCTTCTATTATCTTTTAGCTGTCACTACCTCTATATATTTCGTATAAAGATATTCATCAATGCTTCATTGATAATCCTTCTGAATGTTTCTGTGAATCCTCTGAATGTTTCAAACCAAGAAAATAATTGTTACTTGTTCGTACAATGAATTATTTATTTAAAGTTTGTATAAGTAAAAAAGTTCGTATTTACCATCACAGAAAACAACTTGACAATTTATTGAAATGTAATTTCTTTTACGTCTCCTCGCACTTAAGTCTTTTAATGTAAACGCAACGATTGTAGATGTTCCACCACCGACCACGGATGCACGAGTCATTATTTATGCCTGCGGGCTCCTGATCTCGGTTCCTTTTCTGATACTTACTATTGTGGCATACACAATAACGCCAAGATTGAGAGATGTCCACGGAAAAGCCCTTTGCCTTTATTGTGGCTGCTTGGCGCTGGCCTTTACCACTTTGGCCATTACGCAACTCGCAAGTGGACAATTATCGCCTCAAGCCTGCGTTAGTATAGGTAAGATAATTAATTATCAATGAGAAACGCATTTAATCATGATACTATTAAATAAAAATACATATAATATACGTATAGTGTACAATGTTAGAAAATTATGATTTATGATCAAAAATAAAAATTTTCAATTTTTTTTTAAATAATAAGTCAGAAAAATCGATGAAAAATGTTCAACTCAAATAATATTTTTTTTAAATTACACTATCTGAACGTTTAATTGAATTTAACTTCTCAATCGAGTTGTTGTTACAAAAATATCGTTATAGAAATTTGAAGATAGACAATAAGTTGTAACTGATACTCTTCAAGCTTGTACATTTCGAATATTGGACTTTGGACTGTTACTTTTACTGACAATGAGTGAGTGATATAATTTCGGCGATGTCGTGTAGAACAGGAGGTTCGCTTTAGGAAGTATGACGACACACGAATGACAAGCAGATTGATTGTGATCAGCGTTGTTTTCAGCATTCGTCATCCAATTCTCGTTCGTGGCCTGTTTCTTCTGGTTGAACGTGATGTGCATCGAAACATGGGCATTGGTACATCACCATGTGAATCAGCGCTCATATAGGAGAATCCAGCCTAAAATGCTGTTCTTCTATTACTCGATATGGGCGTGGGGCTTTCCAGCGGGCCTCATTCTCGTCTCGATGTTAATGGATCTCAGTCCTACAATACCTATGACCTACGTTAAGCCCGCTTTTGGTAGCGAGAGCTGCTGGTTCAAATGTAAGTTTCTCGATCCATTTATAGGACTTGTAATTACATCTCATTGCCATCGAATACGCATACCTAAGAAACTTCTTTGGTATCCTCCGTCTGCAATTCTATTTTTATTCCCTCCATTTACAATCTGAGTCTTTTTTGTCTAGCCCGAATTTTTTTTACAGTTTTAGACTTTCAAAACATGTGGAAAAATTCAGAGTTACTTTTAAAGAGTTACTTTTTCTATTACATTACCAAATAGATTCTTAACTTAAAGTTAAGACTTTCATTTAATAAAAATTGAAATTTTAGTAAAAATGAAGAAAAAAATAGAAATATGTATAACTTAGCAATAAAGAAATCGGATTCAATTCTTTATTTCGGAGAAATTTCTTGTGCCAAAAAAAACCTAAATTGAAGACGGAAAGTTAAATATATTTTCCCATAGTTAGATAAAATAAATACGATTCAATCTAATCATTATGATCCTAACAATTCCTATATTTTATAATATAAAATTATCAAATGTTTTGTTTTTAATATCTGTCGTTTTGCTTATTATCTCCATTCACTATCAAAAGAAATGGAAGTATTAATTGTTACTCTTTTTATAGCCGATGCGGAGGCCCTGCCGTATTTCTATGTACCAGTCGGTATTCTTCTGTTAGTGAACATGATCCTCTTCATAATCACTGCCATCAAGATCAACCGGTATCAGCAAGTGCTCGCGCTGAGACGCTTGGCGAGGAATCACCATTCCGATCGGGAGGATCAAAGACTCTTCCGCAGACTTAAGCGGGTCTTCATCGTTTGCCTTGTACTCTTCTTTTTGATGGGTCTCAATTGGATGATGGAATTAATTTCTTGGGGAGTTGGCGGTGATCCTTTCGATTGGACGGCGTTCGATTTGGTGAACGCACTTCAGGGTGTCCTCGTCTTCGGTCTGTTCGTTCTGAGAAGGCCTATCAGAGACTTCGTTTGGCATAGAATACAGAAAATACGAGGAATGAACACCACGGAATTAAATGTCGGAAGCATGGATCTGGCGCTATTACCCGTAATAAACGGCGATATCCCAGAGAGATCGTATAATTCTTAGAAAAAGAATAATCTTTTTCTAAACGTGATAAGATAATGCATTTAATGCAGGCTGAAGTGATATCGACTGTAAACTTAATGCGATCGATAAACCGATAAACCAATGGACCGACAAAAGGTAAGAGCCGAGATACACGGTCTCACGTCAATGAGATGAAAGTTATTTTAATTTCGCTGTGTGCAATAGCAAAACGGAGCGACCTTCTCGAACGGTGACGCTCATGAAGAGATATAAAATATCTTATTGGTGTGATTTCATTGCAAATCACTCGAAAAACTCACTCAAGTTAACTAGCCTGCGAATTCCAAGGAACTTTCGCCTAAAGGAGATTATTTATAAATATTTAATTGAATTTTTATAAGTAATAGGTTCTAGTCTTTTTTTTGCAATAATCTAATTGTAAATATTAATGCGCATGTCGAGGCGTTTTAATTTCGAGTAAAATGCATAGGAAACAAAGGAAACATACGACGTGACTTTGCACGTGTTGAATTACAAGTATTTTGCGACGTTATGTGAAAATCTTTTTCTGCAAGGTAATATATTACGTAAAGCGCATTATTCGTTTTCCACCTCCGCAAAATATAGTACATATTGCGATATTATTGCGCTAATTATACATCTATGGAAACAAACAATGGATAGACCTCGCTCAAGGATCTCAAATGATAAGAATGTAATCTGTGCAATTAAATGTGTGAGAACCGGCTGTATTCCTAAATTGATGTTTCATTAAGTGCGATTAAATGATTATACATCGCATTATTAATCATGGTAGTTAACGATAATATACTTGTAGTTCTTCAATTCACGCCGCAAGTCGATGTTCACATCAATAATGTTACCATACCTTGTGTACTTATACATTATATTGTTTATTGTTGAACGAAACAATAATGCGACAATAATATTATTGTGCGAAGCACAATTTTTCTATCATGAATCCGGTATAACACGTTATGTTAATACATTACAAATAAATTAAACAAAAGTGCAACATAGTATAATAGAATATTGAATAGAATACGGCAAAATGTGTTTATACATCAATTATAAATTCATCGAAAATACATCAATACGTTGCGTATCGCAGTATATTCGGAGAGAAAGGAATTGGGGGTGAAAAACAAGTTTTGCATAATATTGTTATCGAATCATATTGTTGTTCCGTATGGTAGCTAGCACATTATTTATTGTCGTACTAGACATTATAATTTATTAAAGAAATTGTGCATAGAATAGAACGACGAGGCAAATCAGTCAAAATAAATAACAAACATTAATATCCTTTATTCTTGCGTTTCCTTTGAAATAGTGTACATTTGTTCGTTTAATTTGTTCTCACAGCGCACTATATATAACAAACAATGCGTGAATTTGTATAGTGCGAACATACCTTGCCACAATTAAATTTGCTAAATTATGCTAAGAAAATAGTCATGATATACAACGTGAGCGCACGCATATCATTAGCACACGCGTACCATGTAATCCATTAACGCTCAAGAGGCAGAAAAAAATAATTATATACCTATAGGTATAGCCTACCTCTAACAACAAGTTAATGAATCGCGAAAGATCTTACGTGCAGAAAAAACGTGACGGTGCACTCACTGAAAGCTCTAAAGCGGACGATTAAATACGCCGCGACGCACCCTGAGAGCGCCAAAAACCAGGTACCAAAAGTAACAACTAACTTCTATACGAAACATCGTTTCGTGATGTATTTAATTTGTAAACTTACTATACCATACCAAAAGCACCCTTTGATTAAAGGCCATATTTCTTGATTCATTTAATTTTTCTACTCACACAACTTAGAGTAGTGAACCTATTTCACCCTTAAAACATTAAAAAAAAAAATTATAATAAGAATTAAAAATTATAATAATAATTAAATAAAATATTTCCGTCTATCTAGAAAATTGCATAAAGCTTGGTATTTAATCTCTTGACAATACAATTACCGATCATGCGTAAGCTCTTTTTAAGTGAATTTTTTTTAAGTAAATTTATTCTTTGCTATAAAATTTATGTAGACTGTTCGACTGATCTATGAGGACCCGAAAATTCCGGACTCACTCCTAAAACTTCCATAAGATAGCCTCGTTGAGCTACATACACCAAACAGTACATTTCTGACAGACGAAGCGCCGAATCATTGTACGATATTCGTTCCGTGTTCGCGTGAGGTTCGTCAGAAACTGATATTGGTTTACCTGGATATTAGATAATTATTAGAAGAATGAATAGCAATACTAACATAAATAGCAACAATAACATAAAATAACAGCAGGTTGTGTAAGAATAAGAAACTTACCGCGACTAACGTATTCGTAAATGATGTAATCATCTAGACTGGAGAATTCGTTAGGAAAGAGACCTATCCAGTCCCCATTGCTTGGGATAAAATCTCTTTGTAGTTTGTAAGAGATAAAATTTTCCTCCACGATACAGTCTTGGAATTCCACAATATTTTCTTCTACATTAGGTCTGACCTAAAAAAAGATTTTATCATTCACATTTAGCAATAAACAGAAATGTATAGCAAGGTTATATTTTTACCACGATATCAAATTCTCCAGTTACAGGTTTATGATCTGAGACACTGTAATCAGGATGGCTCTTGTAAGTATGCTGCTCAGTGTGAATTTCTATATCGTCATATATATCTGCTGCATTTACTTTGTATAAAATCCTATCGGTCCAAGATGGTCTACGCCTACATGAGAAATAATCATAAACATATCAAAATAGCATTATATAAAACATATCGAAATATTTATAAATTTTTCTTGTATTTAATCAGTATAATTTACTTGAGATCAAATTCTTGAGACTCAAATTCGTATTTGTAGGTAGGCGGGAATGTAATGTTACTTTCATTCAGTTCAGCAAAAGCTTGTTGCTCCTTCATTACCATCATCAACTGATCTCTTTCAAGAAGTTCCTTCAATTGCTTCTTTTTCACCAATAAATCTATATCAGTGGCAGTTAATTCCTCTCCGTTGAGCCGAAAATTTAAGTCACCAATCCAAAATATATAGCTAATAGAAGATACGTATTACTACTGAGGATGTAGTTAACTTTGTTTAAATGATACAATCCTATTTCAATATAAAAATATTCATACTCATGATATAATATTCTCGATGTAAACGGAGCAGTGAAAGTGTGATCTGTCACGATGGTATTATAATCTGATATTCTATCAGCTAGCAAATGATCATGAGGAGTCAAATGTGTGTTCACTACGCAAATGCTGACTCCATAGGTATTCATTCTTATGCTCACTGCACCTTTATTTCCCTAAAAACAAGCAAGATAAACAGATTATTAGTAGAACAGCAATTATTATATGCATGCATCCATTTTTTATCATACAACTTTTTTATCATACGAATTTTTCAAACGGATTAATGGCTGTAAGACAGAAAGGATCTCTTTGTCTTATAGTCACTCAACAGGCTTAAAAAATTTGTCGTACAACAAAAAACAGATGCATGTAATATTGGCCTTATACTGTCTTCTTACCCATATGCCACCAAAACCTGTCTTAGTATATTGAGTTTCTATCAATCTTAAGTGTGTCAAGTGTTTCCTTAGGCAAAAAACATTCAAAACAAGACCCTGCAATCGTTGCGAACGTACTTTTACATAATCATACTTCTTCAACACATCTCTGCAAACAAGTCAGAGCATAATTTTCATATCTTAAATATACATAGTGAATAATTATATTCCTGATATAAGAGTTGTATCATCAGACTTACCTAAAGGCTTTAGTCCATGGATCCTCAAATAGTATATAATCTAATATTAAATTTTGTGGTTGTGATTTAACTTCCTGTAAACTGAAAGAACACACACTTTATCATTGAATCTGATTCAGAGAGATCCATGTTCTGGACATACCCGATGAAATATAAATCCGGCCACATCAACTTTGATTTGTCGCAAGGTGTAATACCCAGAAGTTGATGAAGATCCTCTCTGGGATCCGGGAACTTCGTAGCCACATTGTATGTGACGAAGTAAATTCTATAAGGCGTTAAAAGGAACATTATTAATAAATTGTGTCTCTGCGAGATATAATCTATGGTAGCAGAAACATGTAACAGATCTAGTTACTCCTTACCTCAGTCGTTCCTCTGGACATGCCATTTCGGAAGTTCTCGATGACATAGGAGAGAAGGGAATTTTATGAGGAATTTATGTAATTCACGTAGATAGAAATGAATTCACGTCGCGGTAACTCCGCACAACGCTGGAGATCGCCAGGTCATCGCCAGGTTAGGAACTCGCGCGCATCGCGTTCTTATTCTTTGTACTTTCTACCAGCGATTATGTCGGCCGCGAGGATACCGTCGCACCACCAGCGAGGCTCGTCGCGTTCGTTGCGTACGCTGTCTCGAGCAACATCTGGTCATGCGATTCGATACGAGTGCGTCGTTTACGGAGCCATATTGTTGACAAGTGCAGAGGGAACATAGCCCCCCTCCCCTCCTCACCCCCCTTCCTTACACTATTTTTCCCCACTATGATCGTTGTTCACGTGACATCTGTCATTATACGACTGCAGCTGCAGCTACACGCGCTACCTTGACCGATCGCGATCGAATATACAGTTGGTCTTATACGTAGTTTACGATTTTCTTTCGTCAACGCGATCTCTGACCTCCTTGCCACGAAGAGATAGGAAATCCGGTTAGCATCGTGTCAATTAATAATAATCCAATCTAGGATGATTCTTCATCAATCAAACGGTGCTTTCCAGTAAGAGACACAGTGTGAGAAATTATATTTATAAGAAATTGATCAATTTATAAGAAATTTACCAATCATAGTTGAATGTGAGGAGAATGAAGTTGATTATTCTTCTCACTTTGATTGTAAATAGCCAATTTTTTTATTATAACTTATGGCATAAGTTAACAGTTTATTTACGCTTTACGGTAACTATAAATGAACCTTAATTAGTTAGTGATCATTTCATCTATGTTCAACATCGACAACAAAAAATAAAGATGTAATGATTGATTACTACTTTGTTACACTGTGTCATCTGTGTCTGTTACTGGAAAGTAGCCAGACTTCGAATTCAATTGGCGATTAACTTGTCAAGTACAGAAGGCCCCAATATAAGATTAACTTTCATCTCGGTTTCACTTAATTTCGATTCCACCAATAAGATTAACCTCGGTTCAACTTATGCTTCATCTTTTTTTAATTCTTAGAACTGAAAAAGAAAGACGAAGAGTAAGAACTGAATTTGAAGTTAATTTACATACATTGATAAAAATAGGTATTACATTTTTCAAGTCTATTAATTGATTTGGATAAGGAAGAGAAATTCGAGAAGGATCTTTCTTCTTTCCAATTAATACTTGAGAAATTTGTCGTACGATAAATATAATATTTTAATATTAACTTAATTAATATCTGTTTTTGTGTATAGAGTTATTAATTTTTTGTCGCTCGATTCGTAGAAGAAAATATTATAATTTTTGTTTATTTCTACTAATTGTAGATAAATTACTTGATTTAACTTACTTTTTCTAGTTTTAAACATTAGAAAAAGATAATGAATAAATTAATTTTCCATATACAATCTTTCTTGGCACAAGTGAAATTTTATTCTCAAATTTCACCCTTAATTTTGTCCAATTTCAATTTTTATTAAATAAAAAGTTTAATATTGGAGTTAAAAGATATTTGATAATGTAATAGAGTTGTTGAAAAGTATAATCTCGAATTTTTTTTTTAAATAGTAAAAAAACTTGGTCTGGACAAAAAATTCAGATTGCAGACAGAAATTAAATCGAGATTACAATTAATTTATGATTGATAGAAATGGAAATTTGTTGGTTGAATTAATCACCGTTTAAGTTAGTCGAAGTTTGGCCAAAGTCGTCCTCGAAGAGTCGATTTTCCTTGGAAAGTCTAAAATTCTAACGCTCGCAAAAAGTACTATTTATAAAGTACTATTTATAACGAGTTTTATTTCTCAATTAATTAACAGGATGATTGGTGCGAATGTTCTCAAAGAGATTGGATTATCTTATCAAAGAGATTCAACCGCAGGCATCGAAAGTGAGTGGAAAATGATGTTCTCGTATTACAAAAAAAGAATGTGTCGTAACATTTATTGCGTTCTTCTGGAAGCACGTACACATCCAGTTCGAGTCTCGCATCGGATGATTCGCAGCACGCAGGTTCATCTATTGCTCGCAGCGATCTGCAATTGATCGCGTATGCGTCTCTGGCGGGATAACACTCCCGTGATGATCGTCCAAGTTACAAAGAAGTACTATAGAAGTAGAATCGTTCACTAAGATTCTGATAACGACGATTATTTACAATAACGAGAGATCAACAATCGCGCGCTTGTGCGTGATTTAATCTTAAGACACGACATATATGAGTCTTGTCATCTACGATAAGATTCGCCCTCTCAGTACATCATTCCGGGATGGGCAGCCCTTTGGAAGAACACGTTGGGATTGGCCGACAAGGTCGTGTAGAGATTCCCAGCATCCTCCGGTCTCAAGTACATACCGGGTGGCAAAACGAACGTTTCCATCGGTCCATGTACATCTGGAAATAATATAAGAGTACAGGATAAAGCAGGATAATTTGAATAGGTTAACAGAGTGGATTAACAGAAATTTTCGAATCGTATGAAAAATTGAGGTTGTATAGTTGTATTCATTAAAATTAAACATAAAGAACACACCAACAGTGTATGCTTGATCGAATGCATTATGTGACCTCAATCCTTCAATTTGAAAATTTCTGTTAATCCACTCAAATTACTCCGCTTTATCCTAAATGTTTTCTTGTGACGATATTTACTATGAATAATTAATTTAATGTAAAAGAGAAAATATCCAAGATAGATGGGAAATTGGAATGAATCACCTTTATGGCATCGCCTCGCGTTTATGTCCATCGGAAACGTTTTATTATTTGGAATCAATCAGAAAAGCGAATATCCGGTCGTAACTTTCCATGCCGTGTGTCTAGTGGCTATCATTTTCGCCTCGTGATAATAAATGAATTATAATATCGAGATATACATAGGAATCGAAATCACGTTGTGCATAACCGGGACGAAGCCCTCGTTACGCCGCACGCGTTAAGCGCGACTGTAATTTAAAATCGTCGGCTTAAAGTAGGTCTCGTTATTCGCAGCTGTCGTTAGATTACGCGAGTTCGTCTTTGTCCTCGACACGTGTAGCCTGTAATCTGTAATTATCTACTATTGATACGCTCTTTAACATAATTTCTTAAACAATTAAACAAAATTATCTTTGAAGAAAGAAAGTGTAAATTTACAGATACATTTCTTTCATAAGAATTCATCAGAAATTTCTTTTTCCTTACATTTTGATGTTACATTATTTCTTTTGTATTGTTTTTTCTTTGGAGAAAATATCATAATAGAAGAGAGAAAGTGAAATAGAAATATAAATTGTATAAGAAATATATTTTTTTATAATTTATAATAACTTTGTTGAATAACAGCATTATTATTATTTATCATTATGG